TTTTTATTACCTTTACAAAACATTTTTATGTTATAAATTACATTTAGATGGATTATTTGATTAGTAACTTATTATACAGCGTCACTGATAAAATCCTATATTTGATATAATTGATACTTGAAACCGTCGGTACTTGGTAAACTCCATAATTACAGAATTGAAGAAAAAAGAAGACAGTTGTACGTTTCACAATTGTTTGAAACAATTTTTTTTTTGCACTTGTTATATATTTATACATGCTTGCTTCTTGTCATCCCTCTGATTATAAGAAATAAAAAAAGACTGTCACAACTGAAATAAAATGTTGTTAATAACAGAAAATTGTAAACTGCGAAGATTTACGAACTGTTATGATAAATCTGATATATGATAAGGTAGATTTAAGCCGTCGAAAGTTAGACAAGTATAATTACTGGGAGTGGTTTGAACTGTTGGAAAAATATAGATTCAGCCACACATTGAGTTGTCTTTTATTGTACATTAACTAAATGTAGTTTAGCGCCAAAGGAATTGAGCACCAAGTCTTTAAACATTGTAAAACCCACTTAAAGACTATCATAGTAATTTACCCTCCTCGTAGTTTTATTGGTAAACAGGTTTTTGCATTGGTACAGCTTTTGCCAGTGAAATTTGTGTTTGTAGATTCTCACCTGTTACAAAACATCCACTTTGCTTATCATGACTGGAATACGACTTGTTGCAGGATTCTTTTTGTATGGTCCTGGTACTCCAAGCTGGTCCATTGTTACGAAGAGTGCTATACATTATATATATTTCAGCTTAGTATGCATTAGTACAATGTGCTTATATACTACTATCATAGAACAATTTGAACACTTTTCTCCTTATTTATTACATACACAGTGATACGTATTTTTGTTGACAAAAATACATATTTGCGGGAGTGGTGGAAAGAAGACTTGAATGTTGCCCGGGCATCAAAGGGCATGCTCACATCACAGACAGTACTTAGTCTGGTTCCTTTGTATGTATATATATGCAGAACCTGCTTGTGTTAAATCTGTGGTTAAAAACAAATGGATTCCGTTGAATGTAATTATATCAAAACAACTAGTTAGGAGGGAGCTTTTAACGATACAGACTAACCACCTAGCCATGCCCAGTTTTAACGATACAGACTAACCACCTAGCCATGCCCAGTTTTAACGATACAGACTAACCACCTAGCCATGCCCAGTTTTAAAGATACAGACTAACCACCTAGCCATGCCCAGTTTTAACGATACAGACTACCCACCTAGCCATGCCCGGGCCTAAGTTACAACGTTTCCACCTCCTTATGTCATCATCAAGTTAAGAGTGACTTTTGAACAATGCATAAATCGTCGCATAAATTAACCAAGAATTTTCTTCTTTCGACCTTGAAGAGCTTTCTTTAATTATGTCGCTCGGTCCCATTTTATGTCCCACTGAAGTTACGGGACAATGTTTCAGAATGTGCAAGAACCTACACGTAACAAGATTAATTAGAATATTCACAGGGTATGAAGAGAGTATGATTATAGTATGTTTAACTGGAACTAATAAGTGTTAGTAATCGTATTTCAGTTTTATGATTTTACTTTCATGACTTCTTTCGAATGGAAATTTCAAGGGGATAACTGCCTCTGTGTCTCGTTGGCTCAGCTGTAAACTTAAGGGCTAAAATCCGAGGTTCTATTTCTACCAGGTTTACATGAAAAAACAGAACCAAGGATTTATATTACACAAGCTTTAATGACTGATTCATTTATTGGATAATCTATGTTTAGGTTTGTTCTTCTAATATATCTTTTTTCACGTTAGAAAAAAGTTTCTTAAATTACCACCTAAAATCATTTAAGTATTCACCAGTTGTAAAAGGTATGATTTTAAACTTTGATTAGTTGTTTCCTTGGCGTATTTTTTATTGATTATATTAAGTTTTGGATACCTAGTGTGATGGATTATGCCACATAGTAAAATAATTATTATTATAGTGTTTCCTTTCGGATAGAAAAAAATCTTGAGAGTTGTGTCACAAAATTTAACTTGGTGATGTTGAAAGTTGGTTAAGTATTGAAAACCAGTAGACTTAGTATACGGAAAATAAGTTTTATTTGTCTGAGTGTATATATAAATATCATAAGCTGGAGACTACACTGTTATGTGTTACGTTTTCTATTGACTATTTTAACGATTATATATAGTCTTTATCGTAAATATGTTTTAATAGAAGCTTTACCATCTTTCACCACAATATTAATTCTATTGAGTCTAAATTACACCTCACTAATTGTTATTCTAGTCGATATAAGAACTGATTTGTAACCTACCAGCACGTTGACAACATAAGGAAATGAACTGTGTCCAGTAATACCATCAAATAAGTTCTGTAAAAATATGTTTAAGGACAGTTAACTATAACCACTATTTGTCTAATGTATTGCTCTCTTTCTCGGCGTTCTACAGAGACATTTTCTTCGAGGATTGTCTTTAACTTATTTTGCATTCCGTTTTCAGCGCCCCCTACGAGTGTTGTCATCGTCGATCAGAACAATCAACGACTGAGAAATATTATAGGGCCTTACAATGAAGGTTCGAGGATTGTTCTTCGGTGTATCGCGGAAGGAGGTGAGAAGAAATAGAATCTTCGAAATATGAAAGTAATTTCAGAATGATGCTGTATGATATATTGAATGAATGAGTGTGGTGAGTTGGTTGTCTGAATGATGCTGTAAGATATATTGAATGAATGAGTGTGGTGCGCTCGTAGTGTGTTATAATGGGCTTCACTATGTTTGAGACAACCATCTCACCTCACCCATTCATTCAATATATCTTACAGCATCATTCAGACAACCAACTCACCACACCCATTCATTCAATATATCTTACAGTATCATTCAGACAACCAACTCACCACACCCATCCATTCAATATATCATACAGCATCATTCAGACAACCAACTCGCTTCACCTATTCATTCAATATATCTTACAGCATCATTCAGACAACCAACTCACCACACCCATTCATTCAATATATCTACAGCATCATTCAGACAACCAACATAAAAATCTTGAACAACCAATTATTCAAGTAAAGCTCAAAAGAAACCTTACACAGTTGTAAAATGTATAAATTCAATATTTTTCAAACATCAACCAAATTCATTTTTAAGTTTCTGTCAAGCGCTCTTACTGGACTCTGAAAGTTGATTCTTAAATCAAGTTGCGAATATTTTTATTGTTGTTAATAACACATTTTATAAGAATATAAAATGACAACCGTATATCAAGACTTTACAGCTGCCTTCACTTGCACTAGATTCTTTGACTTACCCTCTCCTGTACGAGTTTTGTGCGCATTCTAAAAATTGGCAGTTTTTTTAATTAGTTTTTAAGAGTCTTTGTAAACACATTTTCAGCAAATGTAAACTTAGTTTTGAAAAATATGTATTTTGTTTGTTCAGTATCTTTACGCTAAATTTTTGGGGTTCATTCCCTGCGATGGGTACAGCACGGACAGAATATTATGCAACTGTGTGTTTAACAAGTTTGTACATAACATAACACTCGACAAAATGTTAACGCGCTCAAACTGTTTGTTATTGTCATTGGACATCATTTCCCGATGATTCCAAAGAAAAAAAAATGACATTTAAGTTCTTTGTAGAAAAGTATTTGAGAAATTTTGAATGTCAAAATGCCTTATTATGCAGGAAAACCTCCTCCAGCAGTTACTTGGTGGCGGAGCTCAGTATTGATAGACAACCATTACATGCAAATAGACAGCGACAAAGTTGAGAATCAGCTATTTATTGACCTTAATCGTCAAGATTTCAACATGTCTCTGACGTGCCAAGCTTCGAACACAAACCTCACATCTCCAAAGAACGTTTCAGTGAACGTCGACATGAATTGTGGGTACCATCTCAGATATAGTTTGCTAAAGTTATATATTTATTCAACTCTTAATTAGGCATTATTCATGTGTAATTTGAGAAACAATATTATTTGCTTGAATGATTTTACTATATATATATATATATTACAATTAATTTTAGATTAACTTGAAATATTTATGTTGTAAGTCTCAAACATTTGATATTTATTTTAAACAAAATTGTCATGGTTTATTATTTAAAATTGTACTTGCTTCAGTTGATGCCAAAACGTAAGCTATTTGATTGGTTAGTGGCCATCTTTTTGTTTGTATTTGAAGTATGCTATTAATATTTAAACAGCAAAATGCATTTCGGAAAGGAGAAGAGAACTTTCAAATATGAAGAAACAAATTAATGAGATGAATATTGTATCTAAAACTTCAGTCAAGACACGTGTGTACTAGCTAGGAATACATTCACTCGCTTCAAGAACCATTTTAACGATTTCTGCTCTTTCAAACGCCTTGAACGTGACTAGAGGTGGTATTTAAAACAAACATACACTGACAGTATCTTTGGAGGTTTGCTTGTCACTATTTGTTAAAGTGTACAAAGCTCTATACCCTTTAAATCATTCATGAACATTCTTTGATTGAGTTAGGAAAGTATCTACTTTAGAAGGTTCCATATAATTCGAGGGTGAGTTTTAAAAAGTAATGAATCAGGTAGGAAGTTTGAAGAGGATTGCAATAGAGTTGTGTACTCGAAGCTCTATTAAGAAAATTTATTAAATTATTTGTAACAACTATTACTACGGAAACTGTACTGTACTTCAACGCTTTTTCTTACAAGCACAAAAGAAACGTATTTGATTAAAATTGCAGATATATATATATATTGTAAAAATAGAAAGATTACGTGACAATGTATTTAAACATGCTGTATACAGTGGTTAATTTATCTTATTACCAGACATGTTCGCTTATTTATACTTGTAGCATATAAAAATACTGTTTAAGCAATACCCAGTTTATGAGCCGATTTAGCTATTTATAACAAAATAATTTTGTAACAAATCTTTGAAGACAGACTCAGAACCATTCATGATAGGTCGAGTCCAGTCCAGTGGTTAGCGTGCCGGACTATGGAGATGAGGTTCCTCGTTTCATGTTCAGGTACTGCATGTTCGCGTTCATGTTCATGTTCGCGCCTTGCAATTTCAAGCTGTGGATGCGTGATAAAAGTGACGGTCACATCCTACTATTCGGTCAGACAATATTAGCTCAAGGGTTCGCGGTAGGTGGTTTTGAGACTTGAAATTTTGGTACGAATAACAGAAATATACTTAATGTAGCTTTGCGCGAAATCAAATAAACCATACATGATATTTGTACCTCCGCTTCTAACAGTGGTCTTTTCCTATGATAATGTCGGTAGCATTCTCTCCTCTTAATGTTGCTTCTTCTCGCATTAGTGTCGCTATTCATCCTCTATATGTGTCCATTCGTTTAATAATATCGGTAGCATTCTCTCCTCTTAATGTTGCTTCTTCTCGCATTAGTGTCGCTATTCATCCTCTATATGTGTCCATTCGTTTAATAATATCGGTAGCATTCTCTCCTCTTAATGTTGCTTCTTCTGTATTAGTGTCGCTATCATCCTCTATATGTGTCCATTCGTTTAATAATATCGGTAGCATTCTCTCCTCTTAATGTTGCTTCTTCTCGTATTAGTGTCGCTACTGCATCCTCTGTTTCTGTTATGGTGTTGGTAATTTTAGTTTAAACGTTCCTAAAATTTAATTGGCATTCATTTTAAGGAAAGAACCGGGTATGGTAAAAAAATAAATATTTTCATCCTGCTCGTGGTTGAAAGATATTAATACTTGATGAGAGGTATTGAAGCTAGATATGAAAATATGTTGCTAATATTTACTACACTTGGGGTGGTGGTAGTCATGGGCGAAGCCGGAAGTCTTGATGAGTGCTGTCTTCCTGTTGATGTAAAGTTGTCATCTCTCCCTGTCTTAAGTGAATTTCTGTCATGTGGTGGTCCTGCTTAATTGGAGGTGTTTTGACGGAAGCACCCTGTTCAAAGTAATATTATTATTTCTCTCTCTCTTTTTCTTATATATATATATGTGTGTGTGTGTGTGTGTGCGTGTGTTTATTGACTAAACATATATATAGTTATAAATAAATTTACATATTAAAGATTTAAACTATAAATAGCCTGATCAGATGGATGCTAAGGCTGTAAGTTTGGTTTAAAATGAAATTAATTGTTTTGATGCCAATTGTCTTTTGAATCCTCTAAATGTGCCCTTTTCTTTTATAATGCTGTTAGTCTCTCCCCTGTAATTGGTATTTTTCCTCCTCATATCGATGTCGCTAGTGCATCCTCTAAATGGGTTCTTTCCTCTGATGATGATGCTAGCATTACCTCTATATCTGACCTTTCCTCTGACCATTGTTGCGTAATGTTTTAGTAAAAATAATTCAAACAATTATTACGCAGATGAAAAATAGCCGTGGCAGTTCTTTCTGCGATATTAAATTGATGTTTTTAGTTTCCAAAACGAACTTATTTCTTAGATTTTTCGTGTTGGTAATGGGTTGCGACGCTAAAGAATAAGAAGTTATTTCTGATGTTTTTTCGCTTCAAAACAACGATATTTGATAATAGACTTTTTATCTGAAAAGCTACAAAAACAACAACAAAGAAAAACAAAAACGGAGTTGCACAAAACTGTTTAACCTTGAAAGTGCCCTTCGGCGAGAAAATACGTGTAATTCGGATATACAACAACAAAAATGTTAGCTCGATTTATACAACGATACAAAAACGTACTCTCAATAAAATGGCTTATTTCTTTCTTTGTAATGGGAAATATTTGATCAACATTTGCTTAGTATTTCACGCCACAGACGGCAAGGACCACTTCAAATTTCAGCTACTTATTGATTTTAAAGCTACTATAATGTTTTCAAGAAACCAGGATGTTACAGTGTAGTTGGTGACCTTAATTTAGTGATTTCTACTATACTTATCTATCGTGCGTGTCTTGACAAAGATACAATCATTACTAAGTTATAGTGTTACTTGCACTTGATCTAACATTAGCTGATGTCGTAGCCAAGTTTTTTTCACAATAGCCATCTGAACCTTTACCATCTGCGTGCAACTGGCTATGTTATTATCGTAGATTGGTTCACTGTTTTGAGGGGACCGTAGAACAAGATTACTCTGGTTCTTTCCAGTTTCTTGTCGACACAATCGCTGGAATTGTGAATGTACACGTAGTAAGTGTTAGCTATATTTATGATACTATGTTTTTGAAAAGACGTATGAGTTAAAAAACAATCGTAGATATATATCAACTTTGATGAAAGCTGATAACCATTCAAAGTTTGGTATTGGCTAATGGTTAGATGAACAATGTTTGGTATTGGCTAATGGTTAGATGAACAATGTTTGGTACTGGCTAATGGATTAAGATGAAAGCTGATAACCATTCAAAGTTGAGCACTATCACACCTACTGTATTACTCTTCTAAACCAACTGTAGCATTTCCCCATTGTTAATATGGGCAACAGTAGATAACCACGACTTCACTGTAGATCACACATGGCTAACTTTATCACTTCCTGCTGATTCCAATCCACTTTTGGAGGTCTAACTTCCCAAAGTGCTCAGAATAACGCTTTCCTTAATTGGCATTTCTATGTTCACAAATACTTTCTCCATCTACATATTGTTACATTATGCATTTATATATTCACGTATTATTATGTATATATTATATTATGAATATATGTTTATGTATAACAGTTTGTATTTTTGAATCCTATGGTAACGTACGCATAGAGCTAGTTTTTTTATATTTTATGAATGCGAGTTACATATTAGAATTTTCATGAGCTTTAAGATTATTTCACCTCTTTAGGTGACTGTATTGTATCTTTCTTATATTTCTATAGTAGAAAGAATAGTATTCTCACTAATTCAGGCACACAATAGAAGAGAAAAATCATGTCCTCAATGAAAAAAGTTATATAGTTCGCATGCAACTTTCGCTTTTCAACCGATATCACAGGTGAACAACATGGCTCACCTAATTTTTAAGCTAAAAGAAGAATACAGGTGTTATAATAACGATATCTTTGAAAGAAGGTTTTTATCATGTTAGATTAAAATGATTAATTTTATCATCAAAGTTTCATTATAGACACGATACAATCGAATACAATAAACTGCTGTTAAAATAAAATGATAAAATTTTCATCAAAAATGTTTCAAACCTTTCATGAGATGAAAAATTCAGTTTTTGACTTGAGGTACATGATTGCCAAGAAATCTAACAGAAAAAGGCTTAAGAATTACGCATTTGATAATTCTTATATTTTCAGGCTTTAATGTCTTTGAAAAATATATATTTTTATGAATAACAATAGACAGAGAGAGAGAGGTCTATAACACTTTATCTTATAAGAAATATGACGATATTTTAAACTATTCTTCATTTTAACGTGAGTCCTTTACTTCGTTATTTTTTTCCTTAGAATTCCGCTCGATTTCGCCTTCTTATGATTCTTAATACTTTTTATTCTTTGTGGTATCTCAGTCATAATCGTTAATTTTCTCCATAAATAGAGAGTGAAAAGCGATGAATTATATTCGGAATTCAAATAAACAAAAAAATTAAGATAAAATCTGAAATATACTTCACACTGAGGGTACATCAATTTCTTTTAGACGGTAGGGTAGACGACGATATAGAAGATCTGCTCTCGTTGAACAATAGGAAGTCTTAGACGTTATTAGCGGCCGGTCACAAAGCATTAGAAATCTGTCACTGTCAGGCTCGGGGGATTGAGCTCACCCAGCTTCGTCTTGGTAGGCAGTTTAAAGACCAGAACGTAAACTAGAAGGATGAAACCTAAAAACGTATACGATGGAGTGCAACTTAGCGGTGCTTAAACTTTGATAACTTCGTTGATTTTGTTGCATCAACACTTTTAAAAGTGTTTAAACA